TTAATATAAGTAGTTAATGATTGTTTGTAAATACTTACTAATTAAAATTTTTTAAATAAATTCCGGTACACTGAAATTGTTTTGATGAAGAAGGTTAGGGGTGGATTCGGGATTTTTTTAGAAAAGTATTCCCCAGTATTTTTCCCACAGTATTTTTGCGCAGATCTCTCTGCGAGCCTAACTACGACTTAAGAGACACGATTTTGATTTGCAAAAATTTTATACCGACATTTTTTCCCCTCATGTCTGTATTTTGATTTGTCAGTATTTTGATTTGTCAGTATTTTGATTTGTCTGTATTTTGATTTGTCGGTATTTTGATTTGTCTGGATTTTGATTTGCCGGTATTTTGATTTGTCTGTATTTTGATTTTTCTGCATTTTTAAATTTTGTCTTTATTTTGATATGTCTGGATTTTGAATTTCCGGATTATGAATGTAACCGAAAAACAAAACAAATCACAATACTTTAAAAAAGAGTGGTACCACTTTTACGGCGTATAACTGTTTCACCAAAAATTTTATGGTTTAATTTTTACCAAGCCGGGTAAGTCTTCATCTTGGATTTCCTTACTTTTGTGTTCTTCGAATGTGGGCATATTAAGTAACGAACTTATATAATGAATTCTCTCTTTCCATTTTAAGAACAAATACTTCTCTTCGAATATTTCCGTGTATTCACAGCTATATTTCTTTAACAGGCATATGTGGTTTTGTTGTCCATTAATTACGTATAATCCAAATTTACACAGCTCTTCTAGGTACATAATTGGCATAGGATTGAGACTAAAAGTTTTAAGGATGTTTAATTTTTTCATAGAATTTTAAATTTATGATCGAACTTACTTTTCCTCTACACTGTAATATAAAATAACTTTAATAATTAGAAGCATCTCGGAGTAAAAGGAAAGCCAAGCCACATCTTCATTATATTGCAGGAGGATATTTGATTTCACTTCCATCAAAATATCATATGCTTGCTGAGAAAAATCTATTGAAGATCGGAAAATAAAGAAATACAATTAATATTCACTAATGCTATGAATAAATGGTTAAGTAATAAATACATATCGATGGTCGTCTGCAATACTGCCACAATTAAAAAAAATAAAATCTTTTACTATTGATTTATTTTGGAACGAATTTCCGTCATCCCTTGTCAAGTTTGGTTTGCAGACAAACCGGTTTCAGCACTGTGCCATCTTCAGTGTCATTTTTCGTTCTGTCTGGTTCGAGTTTTTGTCCTTAATTTATGTTCATTTATCTTAGGTAATGTGATTTTCGTCGATGATTAATTATTAGAAATGTCATGGTGTCCTTTTTTATTTCAGAAGCAGGTAATAGGTTGGTAGGTTCGCTGTCTCGATATTAACATCCGTTATGTTGTCTCTGTATGGTTTTTGCCTGCAGGTCGGTAAAAGTCGGTGATTTTTGTCCTGGTGGTACTTTGTGGTGTGTTCGGAGTGTCCATGCCTGTTGCTTTGTTGTCATTTTTCTTTTTCTCGTAAATTAATTTTAAGGGTCTTTTACTATTGTTAAGTGGCTCATGACTCTTATCCTTCTATAATCAATGTCTTAATCCTTACTAATCATAAGCCACTTAACAGTGGTGAGATTTTTTATTTTTCAAATTTTGAATTGTGTCGTTATTGCAGCGAACCATCGATATAAACTAATTTTTAAGATTTTACGGCAGTGATCGGCAGGGCATATATGAATATATCTCTAGAACTTTTGATTTTCAACATTTGAAAAAAATGTTGTGGCCACTATCCTAACCGTTTCACTTTATTGATTGAACCTTGAAACATATGTAGGTATAAAAATGGAAACTCAGTTTTCAAGCTCGGTAATCCTACTAAATAATATTATAAATGTGAGAGTTTGTATGTTTGGAAGTTTAGTGCTCCATCACGCGGAAACGACTGAACGGGTTTGCATGAGATTTTGCACACAGATAGTTTATGACCTACATTGAAAAATATTCTACTTTTTTAGGAGTTGCCAGCTGCTAAAAAATTTCAATTGAATTAATAATCACGCGGAAAGCTATCTGCACCCTTGTCGTCCAATCATGGTTGCGTTATCGTCTCGCCCTGAAAGTTTGAGCCCAGCACATGCATTTCAATGGAGGTCTGCACACCTGTCGTTATCGGCTAGTTAGCAACAAATCGCAGAACACGCAGAAACGGATAAGCTCGACATTGTTGTTTGCTAATCGTTATGCACGCATTGTTTGTTTACATTTTATGGGAAAAAATTAGTGAAAAAGTTAATATTTGCATTAAAATTACAGAAATACTAATTTCTTGTATAGAATCTGTGGAAACTATTAAAAAGTGGATAAGTGCAATAAAATTCAATAAAAGTGAGAGTTTTAACTTTCAAATATGACGAAATTGTAAAAATTGTCTACGTGCGTGAACAAAATACATTTCAGAAAATAAAAGACGAGAGATTTATGATAAATTACGCCTAGAATTGTTGCAGCACAGTTAATAATTTTAAAATTGCAGGTTTTTGTAAAGACTACGAAAATATTTACCAAAAAAACAGAAAATACCTGCTCTAAGCGAATTTTTAGACGCTAGTGAGTTGAAATATCACGGCCGAGTGTGCGGAAGGGTAGTCGTCATGTAATCGTTGCATCATGATTGTGACGATGAAACAACTATGATTAGACGACCAGTGGGCAGAAAGCCTAAGAGAGCTTGAATTCGAAGATATTTTTGAAGAGGGTTGCCATCCTACTAATATCACTGGATGGAATTTCGCACGCAGGTAGTTTATGACCTAGATTAGAAAATAGGCTACTTTTTTTAAAGTTTCCACCTGTAAAAAATTTAAATTAAATTAATAAGTTAATTAAATTAAATAATTTTAAGAGAGCTTAATTTCGAAGATATTTTTGAAGTGGGTGGTCAAAATAAATTTTCGCACATAGATGGTTTATGACCTGGATTGGAAAATAGGTACTTACTTAACCGCTTTCCCGATCAGAGCCAAATTGGGCACACTTACTACGGATTTCCCAAGGATAGTCTTAGACAGAAAATATTTACAATAAATCTAGAATGGTGACCCCTCCCAAACAAATTGGAATTTTCCATGAAGGTTGTGCATTCCCGAAACCGCTACTTTGGTTTCGCCGACTTTGACGTTTATGGCAATTCGTAAACAAACGCAAACGTATTGTGTACTTTCGAGTGAAAAATCGAAGTAATTCGTGCGTTCTAAAGTAAAAAACGTTTTATTTGTTATAAAAATGTCGTGTCGTGTGTTGAATTGCAGCAGCCGTAGGGGTGAAGCCCCCAAATGCAGTTTTTTTTGTTTCCCCGCGACGACGCCAGAAAGTGGGTAGAGTTCTGCCGGCAGGAGAAGCCATACAATTTAGACACAAATTACAAATTTACCACAAATTACAAATTTACCACAAATTACAAATTAAAATCGGGGATAAGCAAGCATCAACCAATTTCTGCAGCAAAACATGCGCTGCGACAATATATACTTTTTCCGCACCTGCAATACAAACACAAAAATAATAAGATCTATTCTTTTGAACACATTTCAAGAGTGGTTGCATATTTTTTGTTAACGTTGTGCTTAATTTGCTATATTCAAAGACGGCTTGAGAAATTGGTGAATCGTGAAGAAAACACGTATTTACCACAAATTACAAATTTACCACAAATTACAAATTTACCACAAATTACAAATTAAAATCGGAGATAAGCAAGCATCAACCACTTTCTGCAGGAAAACATGCGCTGCGACAAGATATACTTTTTCCGCACGTGCAATACAAACACAAAAATTCTAAATAGTTAATTAATAAGATCTATTCTTTTGAACACATTTCAAGAGTGGTTGCATATTTTTTGTTAACGTTGTGCTTAATTTGCTATATTCAAAGACGGCTTGAGAAATTGGTGAATCGTGAAGAAAACACGTATTTACCACAAATTACAAATTTACCACAAATTACAAATTTACCACAAATTACAAATTAAAATCGGAGATAAGCAAGCATCAACCACTTTCTGCAGGAAAACATGCGCTGCGACAAGATATACTTTTTCCGCACGTGCAATACAAACACAAAAATTCTAAATAGTTAATTAATAAGATCTATTCTTTTGAACACATTTCAAGAGTGGTTGCATATTTTTTGTAAACGTTGTGCTTAATTTGCTATATTCAAAGACGGCTTGAGAAATTGGTGAATCGTGAAGAAAACACGTTTTCTCACTGCAAATTCACAACTGTCAACTCATTGTTCTTCGCCATATTATTTGTTTACCCATTGCCACAAATGTCGTTCTGCGGGAATGCGCAATCTTGTATTCTATTGTTCTTGGGAATTTTCATAATGCATATGTACATATCTCTGGAAATATTTGTGGGACAGTACGGGAAATAGTAGCGGAGAAAAATGGGCGTGGTGCCTCCCATACTAACTGAAACTTTCATACTGCACATCTCTTCAAATATTTTGGGTACAGTAATCAAGCTCGGTATGAATACATGTCAAATCGATACCATACTCATAGAGAAAAGTGAGTTATAGGACAAAGGGGCGTGGGAACTACCATGCAAATTGATGTTTATACAAAATTAATTCTATGACTATGGAGTTCATGGAATTATTCTAAAAGTGGGCGTGGTACCGCCAGTACAAATTTACTATTTTATATGAATATCTCTAGAGGAGTTTATGGTAGAGTACTCGGACTTGGTATTGGGATCAGTGATGGGCAAAATTGTTTTTACTAAGTGTTAAATACTAAGTACAAAAGTATTTAGGTATTTTGTGTTGTTGTAAATACCAAAGTACTATTTACTTAGGTATTTAGGAGCTATTAGATATTAAAGTAAGAAAAACTTGAATATTTAGGAGCTGCTAGATACCAATGTACAAAAGACGAAAGTATTTAGTAGGCGGTCCAAAGTACTCATGCACCTTGGGGATGCAAAATACTTTCACTAAAGTACCAAGGTATTTAGACGATGGGTAAATACTTTCAAACTAAATACTGTATAATTTAGAAGAAATTTAGAGAATTAACATCTCACCTTAAACTCACCTCAACTTAGTTGACCAAAACTCACTTCACCTCTCCTCAAATCAACACACCACATACAACCTCACCACACCTCCCCTAAACCACACCTTCTACTGCTACACCAAAATCCACTAAATCAGGATTTTCAAGACTATTTCGGGGTTTTCGGCACTATTTTGGGATTTTCGAAGCTAATTCGTAATTCTTTAGGAATTTAGAATTTGAGATTTGCGGGATTCTCGGAACTAATATCGGGATTTTCGAGACGACTTTCACAATATTTAGGGATTTTGGAACTAGTTTCGGGATTTTTAGGACTTTAGGGATTCTCGGAATTAATAGCGGGATTTTCGGTAATATTTCGGAATTCTCGGGATTTTTGGGACTCCTGGACTATTTTTGGATTTTTAGGACTAATTTCAACTTTTTGGGACTTTCGGGACTGTTTCGCGATTTTCGGGATTCTCGCAACTAATATTGGGATTTTCGGGACTTTTGGGGCTTTCGACAGCATTTTACAATACTTGGGAGTAATTTCGAAATTTTTGGGACTCCAGGACTATCTTTCGATTTTTGGGACTTATATCGGCCTTTGGGACTATTTCCAGATTTTTGGGGATTATTTCGGATTTATGGAGTTTTCGGGACTGTTGGAACTTTCGGGGTTATTTAGACATCTTTGGGACTTTTTCCAGATTTTTGGGACACCCGGGACTATTTCGGGATTGTCGGGAGTAATTTAGGTATTTTTGGGACTTTCGGGACTTTTCCAGATTTTTGGGACTAATTTAGGATATTTCGAGGTTGTCCGGGTGTAATTTCGGGATTTTTGGGACTTTTGAGGCATTCGGGAGTATACCGATTTTTATGGGACTTCTTTTGGATTTTTTATACTTTCGGGACCATTTCGAGGTTTTCACAAGTA